TGCCTACCTGAAAGTTTTAGAGGGCTTTTTTTCTTTTCAACTGAAGACAAGTTCAGTGTGTCTTAACTTTTTTCTAGGCTTCAACCCAAATGAGGTAACCAAAGGTGGGGAATGACATCATGCTAGGCACTTTCGTATCATCTCTTCACATTATCTCTTTTAATCCTCAAAATGATTTTGTAAGACTGGAGTTACAATAATTATTTTAAAATGAGCAATGAGAGAATCAGAATGACAGTACCTCATTCAATATCACATAGAAAAGAAGTAGTATGTATAGTAGGTCCTAATGCATGCCTACTCAAATGCAAAGCTTTTGGGTTTTCTGCTAACCCACATGGAATCATTATTCTAAATATGAAGTTAGGCTAAGCCTTCGTATGTATAGTAGGTCCTAATGCATGCCTACTCAAATGCAAAGCTTTTGGGTTTTCTGCTAAACCACATGGAATCATTATTCTAAATATGAAGTCAGGCTAAGCCTTTAACAATGTCCAGGAGTAAAAGGCTCTTGCTCAATAATGTAATTAACAAATATTTATTGACTTCCATATATTCAGAAATGTGGATAGCACTAGGAGAATTATTAAAGGTTAATATGTGAACATCTCCAGCTGGGCTGAATATGAGCGTAAGCCTCTTTGAGCACTGGTGTACAAAGTGGAGATTTACACTGACTTGTTTTCTAATTCTACTTTCTAATTGTTCACAAACAATCGCTTTTGGAAAATTGATTCACTCCAAGCCTCCAATTGAACTTTAGCTGCTATAACTAGGTTATATGAGCCTACTCATTGGCCTGCCTATCTTGATGATCTCGATGGAAAGACAATGCTCTTCACAGAATATATTTTCTATTTCTGTCAAATCAAAAAACATGGCAAAACTTGTATTGCTACCCACATTAGTCAAGTGTCCACTTCTATTGGGAGGCAGTATGACATACTGATTTAAAAAGGACTCTAGAGTTAAGTTGCCTGGGTTCTAATTCTGCTCCATCACTCACCTCAAAATCTTTAGCAAGTTACTTAACTCCTCTGTGCATCATTTCCTCAAATGTAAGATGGGGAAATAACAGCACACCTCATAGGGATGTTGTGCAGATGAACTGAGATACTATATGCAAAACACTGAGAACAGTGATAGGCTTGTTCCCATTTCTTTCTGAAGATCTGTTATGTTCAACAGCATAGCTAAGTCTTCCACTGGAGACTTTCAGTATGTATGTCCTTGTTATTCCATGAATCTCTGAAGCTAGCCAGGGATGTTTCAGCAAATTTCTCCATGACCAAATGTCACCACATAGTGTGCTGGAATAAGACTGGCTGCCTAACACAGGCAGCTGGAGGGAGGAAGGAAGGAAAGAAGGAATCAAAGAGTCTGGTTAGCCACCGTTCTTTCCATAATTACCCCAAACAACAAACTCTCTGTGCAGACCCTACAGGAGGGGTGCCCCAACCTTTTTGAAAGAAGGGCTTTATTTTCATTTCTATGAAATCTTGAAATCATCAAGAGTAGGATAAGGCAATTCTAAAACACCTCAGTTGAGCTGGGGAGGGAGCATCTCTGCTGACTAGGTTTTATTTATAAACTGAAAACCATAATACCCTCTGCAGCCTGAAAACTCTCATATATTGCATTAAGTTTATTTCCTTGGTAATGCCTGTTCTAGAGAATGCTACATGGCCACTTTAAAAGAGGCCTAGCTCGGAGGAAGGAAAGGAAGAAACTAATACTGGGGATTGACTACTTTGACACATATAATCCTTTCAACAGCTCTACTATAGTTTTGAGGAATATAATGCTCAGAGACTTTAGTTAGTAACTTGCAGAGGTCAGTTCTCTAGTCATAGAAATGCAAAAATTTAAACTCTGGACTCTAGTGACCTGCAAGTAATTATTACTCAGAGGCCATTTAATTCATTTAAATTACTTATTGAGTTCTTTCTATGTGCCTGGAACCATGGTAAATGCTAAATATATAGATCTAGAAGAGGGAAAAATAGATGAGTCTCTACTCTCATAGAAACAAGAGTCCAATCAGGGAACAAATACATGCAAATGCATTCCATAAATATAAGTTATAATCTCCTGGGCCAAAAACCAAGGGTTAAGTGAGTTAATCAAGGATTGGGGAAAGCATTCTAATTGGATAAAAGTTACACTGGCAGACAAGACTTATATGCTGATTCCTTTCTGAATGCTCAGTTTCTGCCATGAAAAGAAAAATCTGGAAAATATCTGAGTATTCACAGAACGAATAGACTGTCTTCCATGTGCCCTTAATTCAAAGTTTTTGAACATAAATAAAAAGTTATTTGTAGACTTGCCTCCATTACCAGACTGTAAAATTCTGAAGAACAGAAACTGTGTCTTATTAATGTTTGAATCTTCTCCAGTGCACAGTACTTTGTACAATAATGAGAGTTCCATAAATGTCTCTTGCATTGAATATGACTGAACTGATCAGAAAGAAGAAATGTCTGGTGTTTCTATCTCTAAAAAGCCTTGTGGCAAAATCATTTATTAGTGACCAAATATACATGTACTCCCCTCACATTGCCCAGCATCCGTGTAGTTCTGGACAATGGACTCTAAACAGATGGAAAGCATGACCTTTGGGCTGAATTATTTAAGAGCTAACAGACAAAACTTTAGCTGCTCTCTTTCCTTGCCTTGGTGACTGGTGATGCTCTAGCTGGTACAGCCTCTATCATCCTGGCTTCCTGAATGCCTGTGTGGAATAAGCCGCCCTTCCCCACTTCCAATAAGGCATGTTGAAAATGATGTAGCAAGTGTAAAAAATAAATTTTATATATTCAATCATCAATATTTCAGGGCTAATTTGTTATTGCAGCATAGCCTACTTCATACTGACTAATATAGCCCTCAGTCAAAGAGATATTACGGATGGGACTAGCTCTGTGGCGCTCAGGGAAAATGAATACCTGAGCTAGATTATCAAGGTCAGAGAAAATAAGCAGTGGCCATTTATGGAAAACTGCAACAAATTAAAAAGAAGTCAGCTTTGGCTTAGACTAATGGTTTACAAACTGTGTATGGAATCCAATAGGTGTTATAGAAGTGTTCCAAAAGCCACTGGTGAGGCAAAGAGGATAGATCAAGAAAAGACCCCTGTGCCCAATCCTAAGCAGAAAAGTTTCACTCTTTCCTTTTGGATTCCATGAAATATTTTGTCAGAGAGTTTGCCTTTTAATAATAATGTTTTTTAAAAGGTTGGTAATCATTGATAAACCATCAGCACATTCACAGAGTAGAAAAGCAGATCAAATCAAAATGACTATAAAATCAAAATTATTATACTGGGTAAAAAAAAGTACTGAGGCCAAATATAAAGTGTAGACTACTTGTCCAAAATTAATTTTTATCTGGTTTTCAGAAGAGACTGTTTTATTCTTACTTTTTAATTCTTCCTCTTCCTAGTAATTATTTTTAAAGTTCATCTGTCATCCATCCCTTAGTTGAGTCTCTTCTCAGTAGTGTAATTGATATCTTCTTTCTCCAGTCTAATGCACCTGAGTCTACCAAACTACTTTTATTGAGGTATGGCCTGAAGAGTGTGTCCAGGAAAGTAACACTCTGCCAATGTATAGAGTGACCAGAACATCATCGTTTTCCAAGTGAACTGCTCTAATTTTCCATTTAAATATAGATGATATATATTACATGAAATATATAATTATATTATATATTATATTCCTAAAAGAATTACTTATGGGTAGTGCGATCTGCCAGAAAGAGCCCTAGACTTTGGTTCTTGCTTTAGTATTACTTTTCTTTTTTTAGTATTACTCTATCTAGATTAGATATTATCATCTCTGAATTTTCTTTCCCTCATTTGAAAAAATAAAATGGGAGGGAGTAGGTGGGAAAATGCGAGGAAAAAATAATGATACTTAGCCTATCTATCCCATAGCATGTCTGTGAGGATCAAATAAAGTCATAGGTGAAAAACTTTTTTACAAGACAGCTGCGTAAATATGAAATGAAGATATTTGTATGTCTAGAATTAAAGATCCCTCAGAAATGGATCTATAAAAAGAAACTTTGGTAGGCTGCTAGCATCCAGTTTTTTGAATGCAAAACAAAGAATTACATAGCTCCTTCCACAGCTGGAAATCCTGGCCACATCCAGTGCACAATGGGGCTCTCAGACAACCTTAAGAAAACAGACTGAGGCGGATACACAGTGTTCCTGCTTTCACTGGAGGAAAGTATAAATCCAAGGGGTGTGGGTACTCTCTAATCATTAAGTTCTTTCCTCTTCAATGCTGTTTAGAGTACACTGAAGTAACTTACTTTTACAGCAACTGAGAAAGGTAGCACAGACAAACCAGATAAGCTTTTTATTGCTCTATTGTGCAATTCCCTAAAAACTAGAGAAAACATGAAAATGGAGACAGACTACTGCCCCAGTTTTTTTCTTAATATCAAAGACCAAACTAAAATCTGCTCCTTTTAGGCTCTCTGATTATTTGTGTCACTCAAGAAGGCCAGAAGGATTATGTGTAAGGACTCAAATTCCAAGTACGTTTTGATCTATTATTATTTAGTCTTCCTTTTTAACTCATACTTGATATACTATTGCATTAATATTCTCATTGTTGAGTTACCTAATTTTCCCAACACTAAATTTTTGGAAATATTAAAAATGTCCTTTAAAAACTCAATAAATGAGTTCTACAAGCCTGTTACTCAGGCAACTGACACCCAGTGAAGCAAATCATCCAGTGAAGCAAACGCTTTGCCTGAGGGTGCATGGAAATCCCCAAATAGAGTCCTGACTCTCCAGACAGTGCTTGATCTTTGTACTCGCCATAAAAAAATGCCATTGAAATATTTCAGCCCACTGACATTGGTTGTAGATTCATTTTATCTAAAAAGTATCCTTGCTCTAACTTCTCTTTCCCAAGCCCCACAACCTCACACAATCCTTTCAGTCACTTCTTGTCCCTATCGAGTAGCTCTGACTCACTTACCCAGGGGAATTTTTTCCAGCAGGTAGAGATAGCTCTGAAAGAAGTCGTTGCAAATGGCTTTGTGAAGGATAAAGGACATGCTATGTCGACAGAGTTCATCGTCGGTCTTCTGCCAGCGGGATCTAAAGGCAAAGTGGGCTCCCAAGTAGGCCATGGTGAAGGGGGTTAATAATTCCTACAGAGAAAGGAAGTTGGCCTGGCTCTTTCTTTGAATTAGGCTTCTCTTCTTAAACGAACTTGAGACTGTCATTTTAAACCAGAGGACTCTGTCTATCTATATCAGGACAGGGCGGTAGTCATGGGTTGTTGGGGGGAGGGACAGCAGACATGGGGAGGTCAGGCTCTTGGCACATCCACCATCTGATTGCTTGGGTGACACCACTCCAAGCCAGCAGGTGCTAAGTAAAGATGAAAACAGGCTGAGAGAGATCCTGCTTCATGCAGGAAAAAGCATGCCTCCCTCCCTTAACTGCCACTTCAATCAGGCATGAGCACAGCCCGCTAACACCCTGAATATTTGCTTTAATTTGATTCCTAAATTGGAATAGCCTAATTTCCATTTCAAAGAGTGGTGAATATTTTATAGGAGATCCTGTTCCCTGATTTCCATCACTCCTCCTGGAAGACTAAATTCTCAAGTTACAAGGACCCTTCAAAGTCATCTTAGCCAACCACACTCCCTTCATCAGTACAATCTCTCCCAAATTATTTCATATATGTGCTTCTCATGTTTAAAGATCTTCAAGAGACGCAATTATCTAAAAGCCGTTTTGATGTTAAATACTCATACCCGGGCCGGCCCGGTGGCGCACTGGATAGTGCGCCGCTTGGGAAGCGCGGCGGCGGCCCCGCCCGCGGGCGGGG